AATTATCTAAATCAAGTTGGCCTGTGGGCATATCTATAGGGAATTGTCTTGATTGCCTTAATTGAGATGGGGTAGAAGACTCAACCTGAATGTGAGAGGGCGCATTTCATCGGCTGGACCCTGAACTGTAGAGAACAGAAGAAAGCCAGCTGAAACCAAACGAGCAGGCAGCATAGGTGTGCTCATTTCTCCTGGCTTTTGACTGTGAATACAATGCCTCAAGCTCCTGCCACTGTGACTTCCTTGAAACTATAAACTGTAATGTGTAATTATAATTAAAAAAAAGAAAAAAAACCCTTTCCTCTCCTAAGTTTCTTTCGGTCAGGGTATTTGTCACAGCAACACAAATGAATGAAACTAGAGTTCTCTCTTCAGGAGCACATATACTAAAAAATTGGAACTGCAGAGGTTAACATGGCCCCTGCGTAGGACGACATACAAATTTGTGAAGCATTCCATATTTAAAATGGAAGAAATGAAACTATTCTTAGTATCCTCACCACAGCAAGGCTCCATCTGCCTCAACAATTCTGGAGTTTTTTTTACTTCGCATGAGCTATTCTTCCCCTATGCTTCTAGAAGCCATATTACTGGCATGCTTGTATCACCACCCCAATCCTTGGCAGGAAGTGAAGTTTGATATCCTGGGAGTATAAACTCTTCCTTATTCAAGTTTGTATTTGGATCCCTCCCCTAGCCCTCACCTGTCCCCAAGGTTCTGTCACTGTTTGGATCCTCAATATGCTCTTGCTGGAATGTGTCAGTGAGGTCTTGTAGCTCTTTTGGGATATAATATTTTTCTTATTGGGTCTACGGGTCTCTCTGACTTTTATGATTTAACTCTTTTTATCAGCTTAGCTGGCAAGGGATCAAGTGGGGACAGATACTAAGGAGCACATGGGTTGTTCTGTCTGAGAGATCTCTTAATTATCTTCAAGCAAAGGACACTAGCCTCATTAAAGAAGAGTGGGGAGTTCCCATTGTTTCCAGTCCTGACCTCAGCATAGTAGACCTAACTAGTTTTAGTTTCTATGAACCTCTGCTCTTTTCATGATTCAGTCCTAGGCCTGGTCCTCAGCTTTGTCTTTGAATTGACTGAAGACAGACATAATATGCAATTGTGGACTTCCCGACTTTCACACACAGTTCCAAATGACCAATTATGACAATTAATCACAATTTTGTCAACTTGAATTAATATGTAAGAGATTAATAAAGCATACTTCTGGGTGTGTCTATGAAGATGATTCCAGAACAATCAAGTCAGGAAAGTTCTGATCTACTCAATCCACTTGAAATGGCAAAAGTGACTCCATGTTATTCTGGCTGACTTTTGTTTTACCCTGTGTTTCTGCCTTGACGCCCTGCAGTCAGTCAGGCAGAACCAGTCCCATTAAGTCTGCACCTGTGGATTAAGGGGGTATATTGTTTCTACTATACTGGGAAACATACAAATAGTCAAGTAGTATGTCCTTTCCCAGCATCTCCATGGAGCCCATTGTTGCTGCAATTCAAAGAAACTTGTTTTTCCTAACCAAAATTTTTTGTTAACTGAAAACCTGTTTATAAACTGACCTGCCCCTAGCCTGGTATAACTATGATGATCTGATGTAACTATGGTTACTGGCTCTATCCGTGGAATGATGTAATTGTGGTTTTAGGGTTTATAAACCCCACTCTCCCTCCCCTCAGGGAAGGAGTTCTTTCTGGAAGTAGCCTCCTGACTGCCAGCTAACAAAGGACTCCTCATTTGACCATCACTATGTAGTGTTCCTCTGTGTCTCTAACTGGGTATTATACAACTATTTAATCTACTAATTGATTAAAATTTTGAATAGACTTCTGGGAGGCAGAACTGTGAGAGATGGGGGTCACTGGCGCTGTACCTTTGAGGGACGTGTTTTGGCCTTTGGCTCTTCCTGTTACCTTTCAGATTCCTAGCCTTGATGAGGTGAGCAGCCTCTGCTATACACTGCTACCACCATATTATGCCTCATCTCAGGTCCAAAGCAAAGGATCCATCCAACCTTAGAATGAAATCTCTGAAACCCCAAGCTAAGTCTCCTCCTTTGGGCAGGGATTCTGGTACAGCAATTAAATCACTCTTGTTGTCTCATCTTTTTCCAAGGCTACAAATGGTGCTTAACAATCACTGGTTAGTTCTTTTATCTTTAACTATTGGTTCCTTCTATATTTCTCACCAACCTAATACATAGCACCTACCAGTCCATCCCTTCTGTTGGCACACCATCCCAGCTTACCTCATGTAAAAGCTGTAACAACTGCATTGTCACAGCATCCTGGGGATTGTGTACTCTGCCTACCACCAGTGAGTAGGGTTCTCATCCTATAAACCAGATGGCAGAATGAGGTACAAAATCCCCTTGGCTCTCCTTTCCTGTATCACTTTCCTAAGCAACTTAGGTTGGGCTCCCTGAGAAGCAGACTCTGAGAGGAAATCCGAAGCAGGGACTGCCACCTGAGAATGGAAAAGAAGCTCCATGGGGCAGAGAGAGAACTGGGATATAATGCAATCACAAAGGCAACCGAAGTTGGCCATATGGGGAAATCTGAAGCTGGGATGAGCTTTCTTATCATATAGGGCCCTATGACTACTCTTTGAATGCAGGCCTCCCTAGAAAGGATGATTAAGAAATGGCTCTCTTCAGTGAAGGCAATTAAGAAGCAATTTGACAGTTGAGGTCTGAGTGACAGTAGCACTTCCAGAAGAAAGGAACTAAATCCTCTGAGATCAAGAGGAATGTGAGGGGCCTGTCACACACTCCAGAGAGGGACGGATTCTTCCTTAAATAATGAAAAGTGGGTCAACACTGCATCCCTACAGGCTGTTATTCTGTATTCAATAATTTATTGTATTAGTACTATCAACATATTAGGCTATTGCGATCTTCATCTTACTAATTCATTTATCACTTCCTGGAGGTTTATTTTGTAACTAATGCTATGAGGATGCCTATGGCATGGATGCAGTGCTGTTCGGCCTCTTCAGGAAACTAATGTTTAACAGATCTAGTCAATTAGACTACTTAAGAGCCTTGACGGAAGGGTGAACAAATTGGTGTTAAAAAAAAAAAAATAACCTAGGGTCTGGAGAGATGGCTCAGAGGTTAAGAGCACTGACTGCTCTTGCAGAGGACACAGGTTCAATTCCCAGGACCCACATGGTAGCTTTGAACTGTCCTTAACTACAGTTCCAGGGGAATCTGAAGCACTCTCTCTTCTGACTTCTGTGGCATTGCACAACATGGGTGCACTCACATACATGCAGGCAATACACTCATACAAATAATAATAATAAAATATCTAAAAAAATTCTAGGCTGGGCATGGTGGTGTACACCTTTAATCCCAGCACTTAGGAGGCAGAGACAGGAGGATCTCTGTGAGTTTAAGGCCCACATGGTCTACATAGTGAGTTTCAGGGCCCCTGGGCCTACAGGGAGACCCTGTCTCAAAAAGACCGAAAAAAAAAAAAAAAAATCTGAACCAGGTGTGGTAATGCATGCCTTTAAAAATCCTAGCACTTGGGAAGTAGAGAGAGGTGAATCTCTGTGGGTTTGAGGCAGCCTGGTCTACATAAGCCAGCCAGGGCTATACAGTGAGACCCTATCTCAAACAAACAACCTTATGATTATTCAATCTTAAACTTATGATTAGTTCAATCTTAATAACCTGTAAGACTGTTCATGCCTGAACTTTGTCCTTAAGTCTATTCCTTAAACTTACCAAAGTGCCTAAAATTTCCATGACTTAATTGACAAATATAGGTTAAAATATGGGACTATATTAAGTAGTTTTTAGAGTTTTAATACTTTTTTATTCTATGTGTATGACTATACTGCCTGCAAGTATATAATTGCACCCATGTTGTGCAATGCCTACAGAGGTCAGAAGAGGGCATCGGATTCCCTTAAAATGGTGTTATGGATGATTGTTAGCTGCTATGTGGGTGCTGGGAATTCAATGTGGGTCCTCTGGAAGAGCAGCCAGTGCTCTTAACCGCTTAGCCATCTTTCCAGCCCCTTTTTAGAGGTTTAAATAAGTTACATTGTACTGGTTTTTCTTTAATATGGAATTCCATTATTCTCAAGGGATTCCAATCAGGCACAACTTTCTTCCTGACAGAAAAGCAGTTGTTATCCATTTCCTTTAGGATTAACACTTGAAATAATCAAAACCTCCCTTACTTCTTCATAGCCTGCTTTCTCTATGCAGGTCTCCTGAGCGCTGAACATAGGACTATAGACTTTCATCTCATCTACAAAGCTGACACTACCTTGTATTGAGAGATGAAAGATTTGAGGTGTTACATGTGATTAGCTATCTTTTCTACCTTCCTCCTCCCCAACTTTTTAAATAGTTTTTTTTTTCAGTATTTAGTGTACGTACATATGCAGGGGTGTACTAAAGGCACATGTGGAGATCAGAAGACAACTTGTAGGAGTCAGTTCTCTTCTTTCACCACGTGGGTTCTGGGGACTGAACTCAGGTCATAAAGTTTGGCAGCAGTCACCTTTACCGACTAAGCCATCTCTCTGGCCCTTTTTTAATCTTTTAACCAAATTATTTCTTTGACCTATTCTGATAAAATAATTGAGTGAGGGCTGGAGAGATGGCTCAGCACAGTTAAGAGCACAGGCTGCTTGTGCAGAGGACCTGGGTTTGATTCCCAGCACCCACATGGTAGCTAACAACTGTCCTTAACTCCAGTTCCAGGGGATCTGATGCCCTTGTCTGATGTCCGTGGGCACTGTATGACATGGGTGCACTTATATACATGCAGGCAATACACTCATACACATAAAAAATAATAAAGTATTTTTTTAAAAAAGAATTGAGTAAACTGGAAAGGGTTTTTGCTGTTATTGTAGTCTGTATATTATAATTCTACTATTGCTTTTTCGACTACTAATTCATCTGCAAATGGTTATGCAGTATTGCATCTGCTTAGAGAAAATAGAGAAGTGATGTACCACTTAAGTTTTCAAATCTTCCTTAGGCCATTGGTTCTTTTACCTTTGAGTTTCTGCAGTAAGACAGCGTTATGCAGATTAAGACTATCCACATTAAGATGTTCCTAAGAGTGCCTGAAAAGAACAGGGTCAAGGTCAAGTCAGTAGCTATTTAATAAAATGAGCAGAGCCTCTTATAACAACAGCTCTTTATTTCATGGTTTCAAATACATAGAAGACTAATCATGTTCCCTGAAATTTAACAATGACATTCAACACAAACCTCAACACTCTAGCGCAAAAGGGTTTCCTTAGAATTCACTTCACAAAGCATTGAACAAAGAAGAGTTTAAGCACCAGTAAGACTGTTGCCAGCAGTAGTTTTATTTCTTCATCACAGTCAAACATGCAGGTTCTTTCTCCTATGTGCCTGATCCTGTAAGATGGGGGCTACACTCTGCCTTGTGGTACAAAGTTTATAAATACAATATACCAATACAAAGTTGAAGCCATTAAAAAGAGCTTAATAACAACTACCAGGTGATAACTAAATCTGGAGCACTGATGGAATCTGAAGAGATTTGGAAACAACACAAAAACAAACTTTATAATAAATGTTTTACTTGGGAAGAGGTGAGGGGGGAACCTTTTTATGTGCTACAGATGGATTTTATAAGCTGTTCCAAGTTTACTTTCTTTCTGCTATTATCTTTAAATACTGCAAAGCATTGTGAGCTGCGTCGCTCTGTGCATTGCCACATGAGATACCCGATCCGTGACAGACCGTGATAGGACTGGTGGACAGCTCGGCGAGACACTGATACTGTCCGTTGGCACTCAGTTCTTCTGTAATGACACATGCACATGATGGTTAATGTCTAGTGTATATAAAGCAGACGCTTTAGAAAGCATTTTTTTACTGTCTTTAATATCCACAGCACACTACTTAACTCAGTCATTACCTTTGTTATGCTTGTACAAATAAAACATAAAACAGCGGGTTTGGGGGGTTGTTGGAGAGATGGCTCAGTGGTTAAGCGTACTGGCTGTTCTGGTAGAGGACCCAAGTTTGGTTCCCCAGAACCAACATGGTGGCTAATAACCATCCTAACTTCAGTTCTAGAGGATCTGATGCCCTCTTCTGACCTCCATGGGCATTGTATGACACAGGTGCACTTACATACATGCAGGCAATACACTCATATACATTAAAAAAAAAAAAACTGCAAGTGGGATGTGCCATCTTACACCTATAATTCCACAGTACTTGTTTGGAGATAGGAGAACTTTGAGTTCTGGGCTGGCCTGGGCCACATGCTGAGTTCTGGGTGAGCCTGGGCATGTAGCAAGTTCTAGGCTAGCCTGGGGTATAAAGTGAGACCCTGTTTCAAAGAAAAGACCAAACCAAAATAAGACAGAAAAAAAAAAAAAAAAAAGGCAATAACTAGAACCACCCTGATCGCTCAACTACAGCAGCCTCAAACTTTGTTTCATAATTACCTGAGGAAATGTGAAAGAAGTGCTGACATCTAGAACTCATGCTAGCCTACTCAATCAGAAATTAGAGCTGGGGTCAGAGGTAGCTGGCTCCCGGATTTCTAAGAAACCTCCAAGGGAACTCTAATGACACCAGTTGAAAAGTATTTGCAAATTACCATACCACAGCTCATTTCTTAATGGGAAAGAACCATTTACTAGAGAATGAGAGAGATTGCATTTTCCACTACGAAGCCGTGTACAGCCAGCATTTAAGCAGGAATTGACCTGATGCAGAGAAAGACCTCCCTGTGCTTTCATGTTCTCAGGGTTTAAGTCTGTGTGCAGAAGTCTGGGTCTATGGTGTTTGAAAAACAACACATAGACACAAATGTTCTCATCAAAGTGATGAGTCACTTACTGAAGATGATGAAGGGAAGAAGTAAAATTTAAATATAAAGTACGACTTATTTACGGTGGCCATAGGACATGGAAAGATAGCCTAACAAACAGTGCCTACTGCACAAGCCTAGAAACCTGATTTGATCCCTGAAACCCACATAAAGATGGAAGGAGAGAACCGACTCTACAAAATTGTCCCTATCTCCACATGCAAGCTGTGGCAGCATACCCACACACCATGCCCCCCACAGACACACATGATAATAATAAAAGTGGCCATGGCTAAATATTATTATTTAGCTGGTCAGTTTCATGGGAAGTAGCCAGGCAGCAATGTGATTAACAAGTGAGGAGGCTTTCTTGTACCTGTATATAGGGCTTTTTTTTCCTTCTTCAGTAAAAGAAAAACTCACATAAAGTCAGTCATTTTAAACGGAACAACTCTGGGGCATTCACTATACTCACTGCTATGCAGCTACCATCTCTATCAGTTCCAAACCATTTCCAGCACCTGATGATGATAATTGCACCCATCAGGCAGCTAGTCCTCCCCAGCCTCCTCCCTGGCCCCAGCCTCCCTGGCCTGTGCTGTCTCAATGGGTTAACTTTTACTGAATATTTGATATAACTGGAAATATACAATAGAGAGCCTTTTATGTCTGACTTTCACTTGGTATAATGCTTTTCTGTCTATGTTGTAGCAGGTGTTAGAACTTCACTCCTTTCTGTGGCTGAATAATACCTTACTATATGCATATTCTAACTGTTTACAAACTCACTCCTTGAGGGCTGCTTCCCCTTCATGAACAGTGCTGCCATGACCAAGTGGTGTCTGGTGTTCGTTTGAATATCAGTTTTTAATTCCTAGCAGTGAATTTGCTGGGTCACATGAGTTATTGAAAATCTTTTTATGAGGCAGGTGAACCATTTTACATCTAATAAATGAGTGAGGTCTCTTTCTCGCCTCCTCACAGACATGTGCTGTTTTCCATTTTCTTGACTGCAGCCATTTGGTTTGAAGTGGCACCTCACTGTGGCTTTGATTTGAAGTCACAATGCTGAACATCCTTTTAGGTGCTTGATGGTCATTTGTTTATTTTTTCTTTTTTTCATTTTCTTATTTTATTTTCTGTGACAAAGTCTTACTCTTTAGCCCTGGCTAGTCTGTAACTTGCTATATAGCTAGGCTGGCTTCTAACTTGTGATAACCCTCCTGCCTCAGCCTCCCTAGTGCTGGGATTACAGGCATGAGCCATCATGCCCAGCTCATTTGTCTATTTTCCTTAAAGGCAGCTGCACTGAAGCTAATCACAAACTAGTACTAGATACACAAGAACTATGTAGTTCTTAAAACTGGTGAGAAGTATTTCAAAGCATCATCAAGTCACAATCTAAACCTTCATCTCAGGAGTCCTTCTCTTCTAGACTCTCCTTTATTCATGACATGGCTCACTCATCTCTATTCCAAACTCTCAACATCATAGAATTTTGAATAGGAGAATCACATTCTTCACACATTATGCTGAAACTAAATCAAGGCACTAACCTAACCATGGACACATACACACATCACATACATGAACATGCACACAAACATACACATGACACACAATCAACCAGGTTTATGAATTGAATTAAATGAAAATCCACACAAACTAGTGGGGTTTACTCCCAGGATCCCAGCACTTGGGAAATGGAAGCAAGAGGGTCAGGAGTTTGAGGTCAGCATGACATTCAAGAGATCCTGCTTCAAAAACATACAACAAAACAAAAAAACATGTCAAGATAAACAAAAAAATCATACCTATATCCAAATACGTTATGTTAAAACCTTGCTCCTTGGCAATTTCACTAAGCAGCTGAATGTAGTCTGTATTTGGAAGACTAAGGAGGCTTCTTTTCAGTAAGTTGATCTTTTCACCAGGAGAATTCCTCAAAGAATGCCAAGTGCACCCTAAAGAGTGTCCGACTACATTTGTCTGAAAAACAGAGATGAAGAAAATTAGCTTCTTTAAAATTTTTTTGATTTATGGGGCTGGAGAGATGGCTCAGCAGTTAAGAGCACTGACTGCTCTTGTAGAGGACCTGGGTTCAATTCCCAGCACCCACACGGTGGCTATGAACCGTCCTTAACTCCAGTTCCAGGAGAATCCGAAGCCCTCTTCTGACCTCTGTGGCATTGCACAAGAGTGTACTCACATGCAGGCAATACACTCATACACATAAAATAAATGTAATAAATAAAATATCAATTTTAATTTATTTATTTTTATTTTATGTGTCTGACTGTTGTGCCTACAGGTAGGTATGTGCAGCCATGTTGTGCAACGCCTGTGGAGGCCAGGCTAAGAGGGTGTCGGATTCCTTGGAGCTAAAGTTAAAGATGGCTGTTAGCTACCATGTGGGAACCGAACCTAGGTCTTCTGCAAGAGCAGCTAGTGCTCTTAACCACTGAGCCATCTCTTCAGCCTTTTTCTTTTTAGAAAATTAGCTTCTTAACTAGGCCTGTGCTCCAACATCATTACCAGCTCCTGCTCACAATGCTGCAGTAAGACGTAATCTTTTGCACTTGGATGAGTTGATTTCCAGAATTATGTCTAGGAGAGAAACTGCCAACAGAAATGTTTTTAATGTTGATAAACACTTCTTGCTTGGGCCAGGGAGGTGGCTCAGCAGATAAAGGCCCCTGTTGCCAAGCCTGATGACTTGAGTTCAATTGCTGGGACCTACACAGTGGAAGGGGACAACAGACTCCTGCAAGTAGTCCTCTGACCTCCACCTGTGTGCATCCCCCACCTGCCACATACACAAATAAATGTAAAAAAAAAAAACCTTCCCAGTTTGACTTCTGAACTAATTTCTATACTCACCAACCATCCTAGAAGTCACCTGTTTTCTCACACTTTCACCAACACCAGGTAGTTATCAAAAATTGTAGCTTTTACCAGCTTAAAAGGTAAAAATACCTTATTCTGCATAGATAAACTGAGCATTTTTTCTTTTCTTTAATCATTCCTGTTTCTTCTACTGGGCTGACTTTAGCTCTTCCCAAGCCCATGTTATCCCTGAGGAACAGATCCTGAAATGACCTTAAGAGTAAAAATAAATTGTTGTATCTGGGCCAACTGTAGGGTCTTAAACACCCAAAAGGAAATTATAAGCAAAGACTCACGGGGTCAATATAATTTTTAAGAGTCCATATGTATAGCTAAAGGCTATATAAGAAGAAACAATGCCAGACAGGAGATACCTTCGAGTTACTGGCCAAGGTGGCGCAAGAGACTCCCAGAGAGTAACCCAGCATAGAACTGGGAAAATGAACAGCAGATCCCAATCTTATCTAAAGGAATATTGACAACTGATTACTGCTAGATGAGGAACAGCTGATCTTCCTAAAACAAGGGTCTCTAGATAGGCTAACTAGATTCAGCAGATAGACAAGCACTGGAGAATGGGTGGGGGTGTTGACAACTTAGAGGACAGTAACAGGGATGACAGAGTATGTGGGCTCCAGTATGTGGGAGGGGGAGGCTATGGGAGGGTGTCATTTGAGAAGTGGGTATACAGATGAATAAGACTGTGTGGGATGTTCTGTATGATATACACACAGAAAAATCAACAAACTTTTTAAAAAGACTTATATTT